GGTGAGAATATTCCTATGATAAAATGGTATAAAAGCCAAAACAACAACCAAAGAGCTTACAGAAGAGATAAATAGAGTATACTGAAACAAAAGGACAGCTCAAAGTGGCTCCTACAGCTAGAGTGGCTGGATAAAAGAGAAGATTGTTCAGCCTATCTTTCCTCCAAAAATCCGCCATTTTACCACCACTTTGGGTGCGCGTTAATTAGAATCGCTTAAGTGCAAAAGGTCCATTGTTTTGATTTGCGTGGGCAGACCTACTGACATGCCCGGCGCTCACTCTTTTTATGAATAAACATTAAAGCAGCGCTGTCATGGAAGCAGTAGAGGCAGCAGTGTCTAGTGTGGCAGCTAGTTTCGGATACCTTTTAAAAAATAAGCAGTTGGAAGCTATGACGCAATTTATGTCTGGAAATGATACCTTTGTTGCTTTGCCAACTGGCTATGGTAAAAGTATCATTTATCAGGGGCATAACTATCTAGGAATTTAGAAAGGGGGGTGCTGGGGCATTTTTGGCAAATGCAACACGAGTTGATATTAGGCGTGACACCAGACTCTTATTCGGCAAATTAGAGTCTGGCTAGCGAGACTAGTCCTGCGTGATGATAACGGTGTTGGAGGGTAGTTGGACCCCCCTTCTTTTTGGGGTGTTACTAGAATGCGGATCAGTGCGGATTGCTGCGGATCGTTCCTCACGCTGAACCAAGCGGTTGTCCCTAAAAAGCGGACCGGACCGGACCAACGGACCCGAAAAGACTAATTTACGGAGGGAGCGACGGACCCGATACAAACTAATTTATGGACCCGACCAAGGGACCCGAAAAGACTAAAGTACGGACCCCGCGTTAATGGCCACGGACCTGACCGACCTAGCAGCATAGATATCTATGCTAGCATCAGTATTTATGATGCTTGCAAACTCTATGATGGTACAGAACTTACGTGACAAAAATGATTTTTGTCCATGGTGATAGTGATGCTATCAGTTGAGTCATAATACAATCAATGAGGCCGTAGTTCATTGTATTGATCACTGAAGTCCTTAATTTTAACTTGAGTTAGTAGTTTGTTATATTTATGCATCAGCAATTATTTATTTATTTATTTAAAATTTTACAGTGATTGGTAATGAGAATGAGAATGGTTAAGAAGCTAGATAAAACAAGCACTGAAGTAGGGATGTCAGTTGATTTTTTGAAGTTATTAATAGCGTGAATATAACCTTTTTATCAGTTAGACTGTAAAACAAGGATCACAAAAATATATAATACAACATAAATACAACTTACAGGAGCGGTGTAATAATTTTTTTCTGATTTACTGAATCTCTGAAAAATTAATAAAGAATGAATGGGGCGTGGTGGCACATATTTTAATAACTGGATTTTAGCTAAATCAGCTGAGAAATAGTGCCTCAACACACCCTAGAAAAGTAAAATACAAAATATTTATAGTTTTTTTGTTACAACAAGTTAATTTATTACCTGCTTTTGTTTATAGGATATCTGGTACAAGTCAGATTGACCATTCCTGTGTCAGTACTACCATTCACCACCTTAGAAGATGACTGAAGAAGATGATATGGTGCGTTTTATAACAGTATTATTTAATGATAGTGCTATATACTATACGTTATGCCCATAGTGAGAGCAATTTAGGACAATTTTAGCTAGTTTTGCAGGCTACTAACCTGTCTCAAGTTCTAATTAATGCCCAACATGCATAGCTATCAGTAATTCAGTTTCTAAAAGGTGTGGCATTTATCCTTCACTGCTTGCATGCAGTGCTTTAAATTTAAATCATCATAGTTCTTGTTTTATTTTTTAAAATGTGCATTTAGGTAGCCAATTAAATAACCCCTCCCCAATCATTAATTTCAATTTCTCACTGAGTTTACATATAATTTTATTCACAGCCTATGCAATGCTATCAAGCAGATAAAGTTCAGTGTCTGGCTAGTGAATGGAGAAATGAAGGTTCTTTTCGAATGCACACTTCCAGAGGGGTCTGGGCAATTGATATCTGGATCTGTCAATTTAGTCATAAATAAAGAATTAATACAAGAGTATACTGACAGTATGGATCATATTCCACACATAAGAAAAGTCACAACTACAACTTTAGAACCTACAATGGGACTTCATGTTTAGAGACTAATTTAAAATGCATTGAAGTTATGCATCATTATTTTTAAAAATGATTGTTGAAATGGAGATTAATAATGTAAACAAAATTTAGCCTATTAAACAAAAAAAACAAATAACAAAAGCAAAGTAAAATAATGCAAACACGCAACCAAGGTATATATAATGTAAACATGCAAACAAGTAAAGCAAAAGAAATGTCATCAAAAGTTACTGTAATTCCAAATCCCCACTTACAATATCATCAAGTAAAGTAAAGGAACAAGTGTCTTCTACTCCATCATACTGAATTTCATACTCCATTGACACTGGGTTTAAATTAATGACAGTTCCATTGAACCACACCAATTCATCTTC